CGTAATAGCCAAAAGCTAGAAGCAATCCACATGTCCTTCAATAGGTGAATGAATAAACAAGTTGTGGAATATGTGTACAATGTAATACTAGTCGACCAAAAAAACAAAAACTACTGATACACGTGACAGTGAGGATGAATCTCAGAAATGTTACGCTGCATGAAAGAAGCCGGACCAAAGGAGCGTCTACTGTATAATTCCATTTATTCTAGAGCAAGCAAAACTATAAGTATGGAAAGCAGATCCAGAGTTATTTAATACATGGGTGGTGAGGGAGGGAAGGGGAGATTGTCTACAAAGAGAAATGAAGAACTGTCGCAGTGATGGATTGGCTGTGGTGATGGGTATGAGTATATACAGTTGCAAAAACTCATCAAACTGTACACTTAAAATGGGTGCGTTGTATTATATGTGAAGTTGATATAAGAATACAGATTTTTAAAGATGAGGGATCTTACCTGAACCTCACCACCAACTAGCTCTATGCTAGTTGTGTCCTTCTTGGGAAAGGAACTTAATCTTTCTGATGATAGGTTGCTCAACTACCTCATTCAGTCATTGAGCGAATACAAATGAAATCATTTATTTTGAAATGCCTTTAGAATAAGTCGTATACACATGCTGGATGGGAGGAGTATTGCATACACTCGTCTTCAGGGAAGAAAGATGAGATGGTAGTGAATGAGCTAATATATATATATATGTTGGAATTCATTTGCAAATAATCTTTTAATTTTGTGGAACATGAGTTGTGTCACTTCCCCTCCTTGGACTTGAGTAAAATGAAGGAGTTAGACTAGATTAGACGTGGAAGACTGGAGGCTCGGAGATTATCTAAAGCTTTTCAGGTGTGTTTTCTTTAGCTTCTACACTATGGTGACCTCAACAGCATTAATTTAAAAGGTGACTTGTTGCCAGTGTTTAAATATGAAAATTTCACATACAATTTTGGGTTTCTAGCTCATCTTTAGAAATTAGCAGATCTGACAACCAGGTCCATATTCCCACATGGCAGCAATGATCTAGAGTTGCATGGTGGCCATCCCATTACATGAGCCATCACATTAGTTTCCCTCCACCTCTATCTGTGTGTTTTCTGTCTGTGTAGAAACCTTAAGTGGAAAGTTAGTTCATTATTTAATGCTTACTCTATGTTAGACTGTATGTTTCCTGGATTTTATGGCATGAAAATCCAGAGACAAACCAAACAGACAAAACCTCTAAACTCATGGTGAGCTATAAAATAGCCGTCCACATCTCCATCAACAATTAGGGGGAGGAAGTTAGACCAAAAATGCTATGTATTCTAGGGAAAATGGGAGAAAGCGTGTTTTCTTATGCACATAAAAAAAATTCCTGCATATTTAATAGGCAGAGCATGTCTGGGTCAAAATTATCCTGCCTCCTTCACTTGCTTGCTTCACATAATAGATCATATCCTTTTTATGATTCAGTGGATTCATGGATTAGATTATCTGAGTGTTTCAAAAAATGCCAGTAGGCAGAGAGACTGACACAGGTTACTGAATGTTAGATTTTCTTACCTCTGTCCAAACCATTAGATTTTCCCATTTAACCAAGACCTTGGGATACAACTCAGGCTGAAATAAACATCTCTGTTGACAGTCTTCTCTGTTGACAGCCTCCTTTCATAATAGCCTGAACCCTCTTAAGCTCTGGCTGAGAATCTCATCACTCTGATCCATGTGACAGACGGGGCTGTGCACGAGAAGTATCTTGAAAGGCACTATCTCCCCTCTTCTAACCTAGTAGTTTACATTTCCATTTAGTCTACTACATAATGATAGTGACCAACATCTTTAGACTGAGGAATCCTGTTAGGTGTGGATTTTGATCTCATGATCTAAATGCTTCTCTTCTGCAGATAAGCCCTTTTATAGGCATAGATGCTTGACAGTGTGGCTTCATCTGTGTTAAGCAAAGTGATTCATTGTTTTGCTTTTAGATTTATCATGGTCATAGGCTTTGAGAATCTGGGCTGGCTCTTGTCAGCCATTGTGCTTAGTGAATTTGCGTCGTAGGCAACTGACCCATTTCTTCAGTCTTGGCTGAAAAGGTCCTCTTGCTACTTACAAAGAAAACTACACTGCTCCCATCTGGTGGTAGTTATCTCAAATTGCAGCAGCTAAAGAATTTCCTTGTCCTTCAGTGGTGTCAGGCATCACTGAACTGTAGGAAATACCTATTCCCACCTTTTGTTTCACAACACTGTCAGCTGTTTCCTTATTGCCTAAAGGGTATCACATGGTTTTTCTAGGAGCGTGAACCACTCCAGCTTCTGCTCATAACTAGCCATAGGACTCCTAAGTCTCACTTGGTTTTTCTACACATAAAGCAAAACACTTGGACTTAATGCTCTCTAGGAGTACTACTCCTGCGAAGTCTGTCATTCTGTGATTTAAAAAAAAAAATCAATGAAATGAATCCCACTTAGAGTATTTACAAAATAATTATGAACATACATAGAAATTTTGTAATTTACACTATAATTTTCTTCAATTCTAATTAATTGTAAGATAACATCATGGATTTAATAACTTTGGTGGGGGTGGAGAATAAAAAGATAAATACCATTGCATTAAATGCACATGTTTATTACAAGACATTCTGAAACCCTAAAAAGCAAAATGTAAAAAATACACATTTTTAGAATTGAAGTGTGTGTTTGTGTGTGTGTGTGTGTTTAAAAAACTTCTGAGTGTCAATGTTACTTTTGCAAATGGAAAATGTTATTGAGGTACAAAGATTAGAGACTGACGGTTAAAGATTGCATGGTAAATTTTAGAGTTTATTTGAATACTGAGGAACATTGTAAAAGGAAATATACAAACATGCAGTCTCTGGTATCATTATCACAGTACACATTTGGAACTGAAGCCCATTAAATTTTTTTTTACAAAATTATGTGTGTATTTTATGAAAACATGCAATAGTGTTTTGTGATTAAGGCTTGTTATGGTTGCAAGGAACAAAAACCTACTCAAGCTAACTTGAAAAGAATAACTATGTAAAGATACAGTAGGAAATGCCATGGACTTCAGCAGACAGGTCCTGGAGTGCTGCTGAGCCTTGGGGGAATTAAAAGGGCATAATCAGGACCCAAGTCTTTATTTTTCAGAGGCCAGAGATCTCTATAATGGCTGTTTATTGATCTGTATCAATTTTGCATGTGGCTTCTAGCCCAGTACTACATCATAACCTCAAATCAAATTCCCATACTGAAGACTTCCCTCTGTGTTCAACTCTATACAATTTACGATTAGTGACCACCTCTGTGCAAGAATAACATAGTGATTACTATTATTATTTTGCTGCATAGGGTTAGTGGACAGGATATTCAAGCTAAATGATGACAGTGTATAAGGTAGGCAGATCAACTGAGTCTCCAGTGTAACTGCTCCTTATTCCAAAGCCTTCAACTTTGACAGCTTTGCCTCACCTTTTCTAGCTAACTCCTCTCACCAATGGCATTGAAGACCTCATACAGTGCTTTGGGAGTGAGGTTGAGGTTAGGGTTCTAAATTTGGGGAATGCCATGGTACAACAAATTTAGAGCGTGTGAGAATGCCTATAGAGTTATATAAATTTCGTTTTTCGTTTTTTTTTTTTTTTTGAGACAGGGTCTCCTTCACCCAGGCTGGAGAGCAGTGTCATAGTCACAGCTCCCTGCAACCTCCGCCTCCCAGGTTTAAGCCATCCTCCCACCTCAACCTCCCAAGTAGCTGGGACCACAGGTGCATGCCACCATGCCTAGCTAATTTTTGTATTTTTTGTAGAGACAGGGTTTCACCATGTTGCCAAGGCTGGTCTTGAACTCCTGAGCTCAAGTGATATGCCTGCCTCAGCCTCCCAAAGTTGTGGGATTACAGGCATAAGCCACCATACCTGGCTCATAAATTTCTATTAATGAATTGTGAACTGACTTCTAGAGAAAGGTTAGTGTGAGCATTAAAAAGTCTCCCCAATAATTGTGTCATACTTGCCTAGTGTCTGCTATGTGGAATAGCACTTTCTTACCCATATCATGTATCTTTTCAATACCCCAGGAGGTAGAGAGGGCAGGAGGAATCTTTAGGTCTGATTTTAGATTTGAATTGAATAATAGGATGAGAAGAAAAGAAGAGGAGATTCTTTAAATTAATTGACAGCTATTTATAATAGCAATTAGTGAAATAATTTCCTAGCCTCTCTGCTCTGAGGGAAAGTGTGTGACACTTATGTTTTTAAAAAATGTTTTTGGTTTGAATCAGATCTCTTTGAACCCTTGTATTCTTCAGCTGGTAATTGTTTTAAAGGGAAAAATAACACAAAATCTCACAGGATTGCGGTAAGAATTAAGAGCATCAAAGTTCCTAAGACAAGGTCAGGTACTGTGGCTCGTGCTTATAATCCCAGCACTGTGATAGGCCAAGGTGGGAGCCCAAGAGTTCAAGACCAGCCTGGGCAACATAGCAAAACCACTTCTCTACAGAAAAGTACAAAAATTATCCAGGAGTGGTGGTGTACATCTGCAGACCCAGCTACTTGGGAGGCCAAGGTGGGAGGATTGATTGAGCCCAGGAGGTCAAGGCTGCAGTGAGCAGTGATCATGCCACTTTATGCCATTCTGGGCCACAGAGGGAGACCCTGTCTAAAAAAAAAGAAAATGTACCTAGGACAGTGGTTGTAATGTAATTGGGGGTTTTCTCCCCCCATTTACCTCTTTATTTGTAGGTTATTTGGAAAATAATTACTATTCTTTTGTTATCCTGAGATAGGTGTTTGAGAACAGTTTCTCTGACTCTTGCCACCCACTCCCACAAGTAGTATCTCTGAGTTCTGAGAATCTGAATGTGTTCTACTACAGGCTAGCCCTAAAGGCTGGCTGGCAGAGGAATCAGTACCATTAGCAGTGACAGTGGCAATCTGCAGCCTCCACAGTCACCTGACTGATGTTTTGAACATTGACTCAGAAGAGCTTGTATGTGTTTCTCTCACAGGTGGATTTGCTATTGTATTTCTGGTGAGGACAAGCAATGGGATGAAATGTGCCTTGAAACGCATGTTTGTCAACAATGAGCATGATCTCCAGGTGTGCAAGAGAGAAATCCAGATAATGGTAAGGCTGCCCCTTGGACTTGGGACTGTTTAAAATGGGGGCAGAGACTGTACCTTCTCATAAGAAAGCCAAGCAAGCCTTGTTGCCTTCCCTGAGATGGCAGAGAGGCCTCTGGACGAGATGGGACTGAGCAGCCATAGGATGTAGGACGCTACCCTTGCCTTGGTCACTCTCAGCTGGAGGGCAGAGAAGAAAGGAACATATTGAGAGAACTGACCAGTTTTTAGGTCAGAAATATCATTTGGGGCATTGGGAAAAGCTTACTTAACAACATGGTTCCCAGAAATTAACTGTGGTATTTAATCCAGAAAGCCTAACTTTCCAACGAACCTCCTCTTCTGGTCTTGTCTCTCTCAATACCAATCCCCAGTCTCAGTTCAACCCTCCTGAACTCTTGAACATTCCTGTGAACATATCCTTATACAACTTAATATTTTTACATGTAGTTTTTACGACCTGGAATGCTTTCCCCCTTTTTTGGCCTGGAAACTTAGACCAAAACCTAGAAACCTCATATATACTTTATGAATCTATTTATAGAAGTCCAAGAACAGACAAAATTATCTATAGAAATCAGAAAGTGGTTATTTAGGGGTGGGAAATTGGCTAGAAAGGGGTATACGGGGACTTTCTAGGCCATGGAAATGTTCTGTGTGTTGTTTTAGATAGTGGTTACACAGGGTATATACATGTCAAAACTCAAACACCTTAAAATCTCTGCATTTTATTATGTTAATTAGACTTCAATTCTTAAAACATACTCATTTTTTCAAGATGCAGATTTATATGTTGAAAGAAAGAGACCCTATGTGTTAGCTATACATGCTGAAATATGTATGGAGGAAATGATATAATGTCCTTAGAACAATGAGTGGGTTTAGAAGATAAACAAGTTGTTAGAGTAGCATCTTTCTTTTCCCTTTGTTTGACATTATATGTAGTAAGAAACTTTAAATATATAGTCATTTATTCCTTTGTGCTTCCACAGTGCTTTTGTTTTATACCAATGATATTGGTTAACCTGTTATGTTGTAAGCAGTTCTGCTATCAGGAACTAAGTTATTTAAAATTAGAAAGTATATCCTCCAACACACTGCTTGACATGAATAAAATGCTTAATAAACTTTAGAAAAAATGCACATTTGAATAATGGTAGTAGCAGATACATATGTTCACCTAGAGATGGTGATTCCTTTTATGTCCTGGATTTTAAATCTTTTTAAAGAGCAGAAAGAGATCCAAAAATGGAGAGGGTGGCATTGTAGGAATTCCACCAGGCTCCACTTGCCCCTGTTCACCCTATGTAGAGTCAACTTTTCAGTGGCTGCTTAGAGTAACTAGTTAGGCTGCAGCTGGTCTACTGAAAGTACTCAGAATGTTAGAGAGCCTGGCACTACTCTACATTTTAGAAAGCCAAAACTATTTGGGAAGGAACTGTCAGCATTACACAACAAACCAACCAACTCCCAAGACTCACATATATATACACACAGTCAAGATCACGTGGGCCTGTCTGTAAGTCACCAACGCCTTCCACTCCCCTGCACAAAGCTCCAGATTCCTGTTCTTGCTGTTCTTGCTTCATACACGCAGTGAGTTTTCTGGGTGCTTCTCATTATTTGTCTTCCTCCCTCCTTGCCCCATGCTTGTTCAGCTCTCACACACTTTATTTCCTGTCTTTGCTTCTGCTGTTTCCTCTATCTGGAATGCCCTTCTTGCTCATTTTCTTGTGTTACAAAAGCAATCCCATGATTTTACTTTCTCCTCCTTGTTTAAAAACACAATGAGAGCCTAGTGTGCCAGGAAGGCATTGTAGTGGAGGAACTAAGAAGCCCACGCCCATGAGGAGCTCACATATCAATGGGCCTCATTAGGAGTTAAATCACACAGGTTCAAGTTCTGGCCCCGACAGGTATTAGCTGTGAGAGTTTTGTTTTTAGTTTATATTCTTTCAAAGCTTAAATATTCAAACAGGTGAACTAAGCTTGTTACAAAAAACATCAAGCAGTTCCCCGAGGGGACCTCCTATGCCGTTATAAGGTCCCAGAGGCAACCACTTTAGGTGATTCTTTTGACGTATTTCTTTTTTTTTTTTTTTTTTTTTTTTTTTTGAGACGGAGTTTCGCTCTTGTTACCCAGGCTGGAGTGCAATGGCGCTATCCCGGCTCACCGCAACCTCCGCCCCCTGGGTTCAGGCAATTCTCCTGCCTCAGCCTCCCGAGTAGCTGGGATTACAGGCGCGCGCCACCATGTCCAGCTAATTTTTTGTATTTTTAGTAGAGACGGGGTTTCACCATGTTGACCAGGATGGTCTTGATCTCTTGACCTCGTGATCCACCCGCCTCGGCCTCCCAAAGTGCTGGGATTACAGGCGTGAGCCACCGCGCCCGGCCTCTTTTGACATATTTCTAAATAACAAGCTAATATTGCTAGTTCTTGATTTTTCTTCCATTTTAGGCATTATATCCTATGGGAAGTAAAGACGTAACTGTCACATATCCACTGCTTGTCTCTCTCCCCAAATACTTGCAGTATTCTCATCTTCCATTCTTCCAAAACACCAGCCAAGTTTGGCTATGTGCTGTTTATATGAATATTAGTTTTTGCATTATTATGTAAGAAAACTATTTCAACTGAATCTCCTGGTGGACCATGATTCTTATGCCTTTCCTATATAACTTTGCTTTCACTGGAATTGATAATTGTCTTGTTTTCCCTCTCTTGGTCTGAGTTTTCTTTGTGCTTTTAAACAGTTTAATTCCCAATTTTCCTTAAATTATGTAAATCATTTTTTGAAATTTTTAGACACATTTAATGGTGTCTGTTTTATCATCTTCAAGATTTCTCCCTCTGTCTTCTGACTAAGGAATCTGGCTGGTCATTCTCTAGGCCTAACTTACAGTTTAATCTTGGAATCTCCTAGGCATTTCCTCTGTTTCTCTTTTTTGTTAGTACCCCTAATTCATCTTTTGGCTAACTTCCTCATTTTGTTGGAGCTGATCCTCCAATATCTTTTTTTTTTTTTTCTCTTGAGATGGGGTCTCACTTAGTTACCCAAGCTGGAATGTAGTGGCACAATTATAGCCCACTGCAGCCTCCATCTCCTGATCTCGAGCAGTTCTCCCGCCTCAGATTCCTGAGTAGCTGAGACTATAGGCACATGCCACCAGACCAAGCTAAGTAGAGATGAGGTCTCACTATGTTGCCCAGGCGGGTCTCACACTCTTGAGCTCAAGTGATCCTCCCATCTCAGCCTCCCAAAGTGCTGGGATTACAGGCATGAGCCACTATGCCCAGCCTCAGTAGCTTTTTGGTACATAATAGATACATTTTTTAGAACTTTCAAGTCTAGAAGTATCTTTATGTTATGTTCATACATCATAAAATTCCAAGTTGTAAATAATTTCATTTAGATTATGTAAAGCACTTCTCTGCTATGTTTTAGCTTTCAGTGTTGCTCTTGGTAAATCCTAAGTTATTCTAATGCCTAGTCCTTTGAAAGTGGCCCATATTGTCTACCTAGAAATTCACAAATTTTCTCTGTTTCTAGTGTTCTGAAATTTCTTGATCCACCTTGGTTTATGCATTTATTTATTGTCTTAGGTGTTTGGTGGTCCCTTTTCATCTAGAAATTCATATCCTTGCATTCTGGGGAACTTTTTAGTTTCATTTGTCCCCCTTTTCTGGAATTCCTATGATTTGGATGTTGGGTCTCCTGAATTGATTTTCTAATTTTCTTGATTTCTCCCTTCTGTTTTTTATTTCTTTGTCGTTTTGCTCCACATTCCAGATTTCCTCATCTCTATATTCCAGCCATCCTGTTGAATTTTATTTTCCAGACTTTTAAATCTCTAAGATCTCTTTTGTTTTAGACGCATTTAATGGTGCCTGTTTTATTTTTAATTTCGATGAAGTCCAGTTTATCAATTGTTCTTTTTATGGATTGTGCTTTCGGTGTCGAACCTAAGAAATCTTTGCCTAGCCCTCCGTTCTGAAGATTTTTTTTTTTTTAGTTTTAGAGTTTTACATTTAAACCTATGATCCATTTTTAGCGTGTGTGTGTGTGTTTGTTTGTTTGTTTGTTTTTGAGATGGAGTTTTCTTGCCCTGTCGCCCAGGCTGGAATGCAGTGGCGCAATCTCAGCTCTCTGCAACTTCTGCCTCCTGGGTTCAAGCAATCCTCCTGAGTAGTTGGGATTACAGTCACACGAACTATGCCTGGCTAATTTGTGTATTTTTAGTAGAGACGGGGTTTCACTGTGTTGGTCAGGCTGGTCCTAAACTCCTGACCTCAAGTGATCTGCCTGCCTGAGCCTCCCAAAGCGCTGGGATTACAGGCTTGAGCCACTTTGCCTGGCCTTTTTGACTTAATTTTTACATAAGATATCAGACTTAGGTTGCAGTTCATTTTTCCCTTATGGTTATCTGATTGCCTTTAGCACCATTTATTGAAAAGACTGTCTTAGTTCCACTGAATATCTTTGTTAAAAATCAGTTGAATGTAATTTTGAGGGTCCATTTCCAGGCCTTTCTCTATTCTCTTCCATTAATCTATGTATCTGTCCTTCTACCAATACCTCACAGCCTTGATTACTATAGCTATATATGTTTTTAGAATGGACTGAATCCTCCCACTTCTTTTTTTTTTTTTTTAATTTCTTACTGGTTTTTTTTTTTTTTGAGATGGAGTTTCACCCTTGTTACCCAGGCTGGAGTGCAATGGCGCGATCTCGGCTCACCACAACCTCTGCCTTCTGGGTTCAGGCAATTCTCCTGCCTCAGCCTCCTGAGTAGCTGGGATTACAGGCACACGCCACCATGCCCAGCTAACTTTTTGTATTTTTAGTAGAGACGGGGTTTCATCATGTTGACCAGGATGGTCTCGATCTCTTGACCTTGTGATCCACCCGCCTCGGCCTCCCAAAGTGCTGGGATTACAGGCTTGAGCCACCGCGCCCGGCCATTTCTTACTGTTTTAAATCTGAAGTCTGATGTGATGTT